TCATCCGTGGCCTCCCAAGGTCCCCAATCTGAAAGCAAAACAGCTGACGCGTGGTGAACGCAAGCAGTAGATGTGCTTTTTCAGTCAAATTCCGATGGAGGAGATTCTTGACGTATTCTGAGAGGTTAGTGTAATTAGTCACGATGCGAGGGATGGAACTTCCGTTGATCAAGAGGCACCATGCAGTGTCTGATCACGAGAAATGCGTCGTTGTCTTCACTCAAACAATGAGAAAAACATGCAACCGCTAAGACCATCCGCCCGACTCACTTAGACCAAGCGACTGATTCTTTTGTACCGGAACTTCATCTCTATTTCTTAGACCAGTCGAGTCCAATGAGCCACGTGTCACCGTCGAACACGGCCGACTCACGAGCATTGAGCATCGTCTTGTCGGAAAAAAAACCAACGAGATGGTCATAGGAAACAGTGTCTGAGTCGAGATCGCGTCTGAGCGAATTCTCCCCGTTCGTCGCTTTGATGAGATGTGTTGTCCAAAAAAAAAAGATACAGAACCCCTAGAAGTCCAAAGACTATATTTTGACCGGCTGAAGTAAAGGAAGTTCCCGAAATCAGTTCCCCGTTCGTCAGACCATTCTTTTTATAGTCTGACCGACTCCGAACTGTTCTGCTTTGATCCAGCGTCACGGATCTGGCGCGACGCTCGGGTCCAAAGAAGTGAAGATCATGTGTGCTGAGGTGTTTGAACGTTCATTCGGGTGAGTGTGTCCTGCGCAAATGTCCCGTCAGGTTTCCTCGTCAGGTTTTCCAAAGGAGAAACACTGTGAGCTCTTGTGGTTCCTTTGCCTTCATCACACATGGCAGGGGCTTGGAGCAACAAAAACAGCATTGGATTCTCAATTGAACCTGAAGATCAGCCCAAACAGGATCTAGCAGCCGAAAAAGAAATCCCCCAAGCAATCCGGATTCGCTCAATGAGTGGCTTGCTTTGGACTGAAGGAAAGACAACCTGTGGGACCTTTGAGACACAAAAGAAAACACCTAAGATCGCCTGAGGTCATCTGGCCTCTTTCGAACATATCGCCTGTCTTCTTGGACCTTCAAAGCAACACTAGGAACAAATTTGCACTTGTCTCCGCTGAAGGTTTGCTTCAGGGGGACTCCGAACTTCTCGTTCCAACAACACAGCCTGGGGCCGATGCAAGACAGGGACACATGGATAATTACGTTTCTGCATGACTCAAAGCTCGTTCAAGGGATGCCTTGAATCTCCATAGAACATCGCGACCGATATCTGAGGGTCTCAGAAAGGTCGCGCCGCCCATCACTGTCCTTCCACCTGGGAGGCAGCGTTCGACCTGCTAACGAATTGCTATAAACAAAACCGTTCAACCTCGGTGCCAAAGCTTCTCTTTTTGATTGGTCAAAACATGAACCTCGCGGTAATGGAGGAATCTGAAGATCGAAGAAACAGTAGATTCAAGGTGAAAGGTCAAGTTGTCCGGGCATCCAAGAGGCAGAACATGGTTTTTGGATTCGCGCCCATCAACTTCTAGTTACTATCTCAGGTATAGCTTGAAACAATCCTAGAAAGCCTCACTTTTGGGTTGCAGGGGGGTCTTCAGTCTGCCAACCGGTGCTGAACCGTCTCAAGAATAGTGATATATATATATATACATATATATATATAAGCTAATGTCGACACCGGATTAATCAACCCCCCCTTCAAGGTCAACAAGGTCTGGGATTGGATGGATTGGAGACCACATCCCCTTAATAAAGATGCTGACCTGATGATGGATGATGAGATGAGGACCTGGACCTGATGATGGGTGATGGTTGATGGGATGGTGTGGGAATCATAACAGTTTGAACCATGAGAACCATCAGCCTATTTGAAAGCCAAAGCCAAGATTGAGTTGGATGGGATTGGGGTATGCAGCAAGTGCAGGTATGCCAGTGGGTGTTTGGAACGCAATGTGTGGAAATGCACAGCCTATTGGATGAGGAGGGAGGGGAAGAGGCTGGGGAGGAAGATCCCATATGAGTATACATTGGCTACACAGATTGCTGCTAGGAAGGATGAGAAGAGCCAGCAAAAAGATCAGAATGATTGATGGATGAGAGGATCAGTATGGGAAAAGGGTTGATCAGAATGTTATCTCTCAAAGAGATGGCAAGGGTCGATCAGAAGATCAGTTTCACCATGGACCAAAAGATATTGGATACTGTTCAAAAAGAAAATAGAAACGTAGATTATAAAGCCAGTTATATTTTACTTTCTTCTGGTGGAGCTGGGCTTGATCAATAGGGGGAGGTTACTTAATCCTTTGTCAACATTAGTGTAGTTGCTATATCGGCTCTCCATCCCACAGACAGCTGCCAGCTGCCAGTCCCACAACCAGCTTGCTTTCAACTGACGAGCCACCGTGGCACGTGCGAGAAAGCCCCACCTGCGGCTCTGGAGCCGATCTAGCAGTGTGGCACAAAAACCGAGTCAAAGCAATCCGAATCTTTGGCAAAAAGCAGAGGGGTTAGGTGGTGACATACCTTTCAGGTAGTCCGAGATGGCCTGTGGGAAAAGATTCTGAACTACAACATGTTTTGACGACTGTTGAGAAGCTAGGAAATTCAGTCTGCTCTAAGCTTGGAAAGCCAGGATTTTGAACATTGGCCAACAATCAAAGCACTGGAGGTCGTAGATTCTGTAGGGTGGGTAAGAAAAAAGAACGCAATGTCCCAGAACTCAACTCAGGAAACAAAAGCCTATGGCCTAGCCTATGGCCTATGTCAAATCTGTGTTGACCCAGCCAGCGAAGAAGTTTGCGCATCTCCGGCACAAAAATTGCCATTGTTGTTGCCAGGGGGTCGCAACATCCGCAGCATTCCACATCCGTCCGAAGGCCTTCCTGATTCGATTCGGACGGAGCTTCCAGGGTTTCGATTCTCACACCCATGGCCCATGGCACAAGAAACAACGGACAAACCAATAAATGAAACCAAAAACCGTTGGAGTGGAGGGTTCCAGGTCACAACAAGCCAAATACTGCTCGAGCTGAAAAACATGGCTCAAGGACTCCAAACCACCCACACATGTCGCGTCCCAAAGGGCTTCAATTAACTGGCAGGAATGGCCTCCACTCGTCTTGCAGGTCTGAAGAAGCCCCCCTGAGCTCCTGAGTTTCAGCGCCAACATCGGAAGAGATGCTGAATGGATTCAACTCTTCTTTTGTGCGCCATAAGGAATCGCCAGTGTTCCCACATTCACAATCAAAGTGTTCACCAACATTTTAGCCGCCCAACTGCACCCGCAAGTTGACGAGGGCGTATGGGTGATACAGCCATGCGCGGCCTATGATTCAAGTGAAATCCACATTCTATCGCTCTACATGGGCGGACCCGCGCTGTGGACGCTTTAGCCGGAACAATGAAACCACAAAAGCACCTGGCAGTCTTGATAAACCTCTCCTGATGACCACCTTCGCGGTCTGGGCTACCAGCGCCATCATCGTCGCTGCTTCCTGGCAGTGACTCGGTGGACGATTAAACATCTCAATTCATGGATGGGCAAAAAATGAGTTAAGTGGTCCAAATCAACCGGATGAAACTGTCACTTGAAGTGATACTTGTGGAGGAAATTGACAATTAAAAAAAACATGGAGAACCAAAGCTCACTACTGTCTGAGGACAACCGAGCCATCTTGTAAGCCATTGTAAGCATGAGATCTGCAGAACTCTATGAACGAAGCGCAACGCAGCCAGGTCTGCCCACGCAGCTGACTTCTGGACACCTCCGCGAGGTTGGCCATGGAGCTTCTCAGGGGCAGGCTGAGGCACCTACCACGTCGCTGACTTAAGGAATTCCACTGGCGCCCAGTAGCACCCAATCCGAAACTCATAGGGGCCTTTCTTCTCAGCTTGATAGAAAATATGTCATCTGATCGTGTTCAATTTCATGGTGAGTGAACGTGAACCAACGTGGAAAGTGGCAGGCTATTTTGCCTTGTCCCGGATGAAAACCGTACAGAAAAAGACGTAAAGCAAGGTGCCATAAGGTGCCCGTGAAACCCCGTGGTCTCCTGGACAAACAAGTTTGGGGAGGTAGACTGAACCAAACACTCTGTGCCCATGAAGTTTCTGTTTGGGACCATGCGTCTGGCTGTCACTCCCAGAACCTATTTGCTGCGTTTCTCAACGCCGACCTGACATCACGAGCACTGGCGCTGGCTGAAGCTGCTTTGCAGCTTCGCAGCGCAGCGTTGCTTCGAACATGGCGATCACTTTGTCACCAAGGTAGACATTACGAGATTTGCCGCGCACAGACATAACGAAACCGGCGGCAGCCGGCGGCAGAAAAAGAATGCTCTCGCTGGTCCATGCGGCGAGGAATCAAACGGGTTCGTCTCCAACGGGAGACATTCAAACAAAAAATCTCCGACAGGATCCCACAGGTTCCCACGGCACCCTCCTTTCATATCCCCACAATATAGAGTATCACGTAAGGGTCAATCCCCAACAAAAAAGCACCCCGAAATGCCTTCACAGAAATTCCTCTTCACATGGCCAGCCACTCAAGCCTGCCAAGAAGCCACACCGTCGCAGTCACTCCTCCCACGCCCCACAGGTGGGCGCGGTGGGCGCGCTGGCTAGAACTGATCTGACCTCGACCCGCCCCCGCCCACAACGACCCCGTGGTCTCGTCACTCGATCGAGTCGAGTCGAGTCGATCAGCACTGTGGTCAGCCCTGAAGTCTTGGCCCTAAAGACCAGACCCTTTGAAGTCGAAAACCTCGACCTCTTAGCAGTGTTTACTTGGGAGCCGACCGCATAGATTGTAGTGTAGGAAATCCCCCAGAAATACCATGAAATACCATGAAATACCAAGTTGCATGGAAAGAAGATGGGGATATTGTTCAAGGACCCAGAATAGAGACTTGATAAGACACGAATTACACCAGAAAACAGTTTGAATCCAACAGGGTCCAGTAGCAAGGCCCATCCCCCAGACCTACATCCACAAACCATGTAGTGCCAATTCTTCACTCACCAAAAACCGAGCAATAAACCCTACGAAAACCTACAAATTCACCAGAATTTCTCAGAATGCCCCCCTTCCACCTGCCATGCCAGGTCCAAAAACACACACAGAGACCTCTCTTCCCTCTCCTCTCTTCCAAGCTCCATTCATCCAAGTCACCGGTATTCGAGCCCGGCAGCGCCGCACAGAGCTGCTGCGACATCTCCGAGCGATAGCTGGGCAGCTGGATGGGGTCCACCAGGCGCGTGCCGCCGTGCTCGAAGAGCGACGGCAGCCTGAGCGCCGGCAGCTGGGCAAGGCGAGGTGCACGGAGGCGGAGGCGGAAACGGAGGCGAGGTGCGCGTTGGTGTTCTTTTACGGGACGGGGGGATGTACCGAAAGACGGTACATGGATACCAAAGATCGGAGGGGGCGACCTTCATTCCTTGTCACTTCAACTATAGTTACTATAGTTGACTTCGATATCACTTCCTATATAGGGGCTTTGGGTGACTGGTTTTGAGACGCTGAGGGCTCAAAAGCAGTACTGCCAAGCAGAAAAAACGCATCAAATTCACATGCTCAACAATGTCAGGAAACACAAAGCCAGAAATCCCGCCGTGCATCCCTCCTCCTGCATAAAAGCTCTGACCACAGCTCGAGCTGCCACTGGACTGTGAGAGTAAGCGCGAAGACGGGGTGCGCTTGAAACGCACAAAGAGTCTGGCATAGGTCCCCTTTGATGTGGCAGTGGGAGTCGCATTGATAGTCCGGTTTCCCAAGTTTTCGAGCTTGAACAAATCTTCTGAGGCTCGCTCAATGTAGACATCATCCCACAAAGTGTCAGACTCCCAAGCGCCCAAATAGACCTTGTTGCTCTGCAGCAAGCTACTCTGGATCTTCACGCACTGGTACCCCGCATCCCACTCTGCCCTGTTGCCACTAAACGAGCTGGTCGGACGATTGTGGCACGTCCCAAGGAAGCACCAGCCCGCATAGGGCTCGTCGGAGAAGGTGTCCAAGTTGCCGTCGGTCTCGAAGGCATAAATGTCCACACAAAGATCTTCATCGTCCACCTGATCATGGAAGGCATGACATGAATGTTGATCCCTCTGAGTGAATCACTTGGTCCTACCATGTTTTGTCACTTGTGGGAATCACTTTTCAAGGCGCACATGAACAGTTCCCTTTTGATCCACCTAAGATTGGGGCCTATAGTAGGCCTATAGCTCATCAAGCAAAACTAAAGGGGGGCAAGCATGGCTGTTCAGCCAGGCTTTCCCAAGGTTGATCCACCGACCTTTCGAGTCTGACTTGATGACGTCTACCACCCTTAGGCCCTAAACCCACCGAAGATGGCACCAGCTTCGGGCCCACTGCCCGCCTGGGACGAGGCGGCGATCGCCGTGGCCGCCACGGAGGTCGTCGCCCGTTGGGTGGAGTAGGCCACGTTGGCCTCAAGGCCTGGAGCTTCGGAAGGCTCGGGTGGAGGCGCCAGGGGAGTCGAACGTCGAAAGCGCCTGGTAGTTTGTGTTTTGTTCTTTCGTTCTTGCTTTCCAATGATGCTTCAAAGAACGGCATGGGAGTTCTTTCTCTTAGATAGCTTGGAAATAGCTAAGGCTCGCTTCTTGAAACGCAGCCACAGCGGAAACTGTCGGATGACTCAATGACCTCTACAAACCAAAGCGTAAATTCGATCAGCTAAATGTAAATTCTCTCCCTCAACCCCCCGTCTGTCCGCACGCTTACAGTGCATCCTTTGACGAAGGAATGCCAGTGCAAAGGTCCAAAAGAGGGTTCTATTCAAACCTAGCTCCGATCCCATCAACAGCCATCACTAACCCCAGCTGCGCCGAACAAAACAACTAAGGGCCAGGCAAGTTGAGGCATCCGACATCGATTCATCTCCAAAGTCCAATGACAACTGAGCACACGGAGCCAGCGACGCAGCTAAATCAGCGGAGAAGTCCGTCAAACTGGGCGTGGTGGTGGTGCCGTTATGGATGACTGAGCCCAGCGAGTAGTTGAATCCCGACCTGGCTCGGAAAAATCCATTCTCCTGAGTTAAAAGTTGCCTGTCGAGTGGGGGAATCATTCCCAGGTCATCAGGTATATGGGAATAGGAAAACAATAAAAGACACCAAAAGCCTCACCTAGACACTCTTTGGTCCATGCAACTTCAGCACCAGTCCACTCCAATGTACGCTGGTCTCTCAGGACACCATCCAGGCTACTTTGAAGACCGGCTTTGCCTTTCAGCGTATAGATGACATAAATCCCGATGTTCACAGTCCAGTCATTCACGCTGCTAATGAGCTTGCCAAACATGGGCATCGTAATGGCCGTGAACGTATCGATGAGATTCTCCGAACGAGGCCCCGTGAAGATGGTCGTCCACGTGTCTTCTGTGGCATTTGGGTCCAAGCTCGTCTCCACATCATCCAATCTCACCTGGCAATGTGGCTGGCTTAAAATGCTCAATGACTAAGTGACTAAGCCAGGAGACGCACAGATTTCAGGTTTTTCATGGTTTTTCCTCTCTACATCCCTCTACCATTTTTTTTGGCCAATGGATTGGCCAGTTCCACCAGCAGCGGCACCCCACCTCGAGGTGGGATTGGAATTTGGCCGACAACCCAAAGGACAGGCGAGTCGGTTGGCCCTCGTCGTTGGTCTGCAGCTGGAAGGTGGGCGTGGCATTCAGGGTGACATAGCAGTTGGAACATTTCAAGGGCCCCAAAGAATAGCTTTGCGATGCCTGTTGACTGTCACAGTCATAGTTCAAGCCCCACTCAAAGTCTCCGCAGGAGGTCTGCAGCTGTCGACCATCCCGGGCCTCACCTCCCGCCGCTGCCGACCATCCCGGCTGCTCGAGCCGGCGCCACGAGACGCCCAGGTACACGTTGCGGAAGAGCTGCAGCGGGCTGACCGGCGCCACTCGGAAGACGCTGGACACAGGCGCTGCGTCGGCCACCTGCGCGTCGCTGCGCGGGCATCGCTGCGCGGGCGGGGAGAGAGCCCTTCAGAGAACCGGGAGGAAGAAGCCGCTGAGGCACTGGGGGAGTGGACTCCTGAGGTGCTTTAGGGTCGCCATAGGGTTGTCATCAGGTTGTCATCGTACCATGATATCTGTTTTTCCATCTAATACCAACCAACGGGAGATCCATGTCCTCTCCCTGTGTTGGAGCTTCAATTAAAGCCAAGCCCTGGCCTTTGTCAGGACTTTGACCCCGCAGGCAAAACTGTAATCACGGACCAGGTAAAGGGGATCTGTCCCAATCGTGAGTGAGTGAGTGAGTGAGGGAGGGAGGGAGGGAGGGAGTAGGTAGGTATCGATGTTCATAGGAAGAACAAGTCCAACCACTGCGCGCGTCTCCCGCCTGCAGGACACGCAAGAGTAAGCCTGTGCGCTGGGGCATGCCACTACGGCTTTTCGTAGAGTTCGAGATGTTGCATTGCCACTCCGGAGACCCACTGATGACCTCAGTCAGTCAGTTGCCAAACTTCAAAACCACTGGCAGCCGACAGAAAAAAACCGCACTAGTATGAGGTCCAAAAAAAGGCACATGTGAAGGTTCCACTGGTTTGCTACAAACCCACTTGGCAGTGGGTCAAAACCGAAAACCCATCAAAGCATGGTTTCGGTCGACAGAAGCTGTTCATTTGACCCGGGCTCAACAGCCCTCAGTTTTGACCCACGGCCACTTGGCAACGTCGCTCGCAGCGGTCGGCTCGGCCGCAATGGATCTGAGGTGAACACGGATGTGATGTGAAGTCACTCCATCAACTGCCCTCGAAACATGATATGTCGCAAGGGGTCCTATGTAGTTTGTGGCCGAACCAAGGGAGGTGGATGGTCCAAAGATCATCTCACTGGCGATTCCAAAGATGAATGGCTGAGTGAGAAGTCAAGATTCCAAAACTGGACATGTATTCTTGTCTTTCAGTTCTTGCGGAAAACACGGGCCTACTACACCCCACATGCTACCCACAGCCAAACAGCCGTAATCCAATATCGCTGGCCGAGTTGCAGCGTCTTTCTCTAGCTTGGCCGCATCCTTTGCCTTTGAAGTGTTCCAATAGATGCTGAGGCGACCGTCGGCGCACTGGATTGCCTCAACTCCGTTCTCCTCGGAGTCCAAGTTGAAGACTCGCTCCACAGTGGGAGTGCCAGCGAAGTCGTAGTGAAACTCATATCCTCCATCTTCCACCTAGCGAAAGCGCAGGTCGTTACCTTACCTTTAGGAGACGGAGCGTCGTTTCAACCAACCGAAACAACGGCGGCCCGATCGGTTGTCCCGGGATTTTCCGCCGGTGAAATGGTCCGACTTCATCTATCCAATCGATTTCGAAAGTGAAGTCGACATGGAATGATAGTGTTTTGCCTTGGCCCCAAAGCTACTACATTGAGCCTGTGACATCCATCCCTCCTGGCCTATGGCCTATATGGCCTATGAAGAGTCGAGCCTTCCTTTTTTTTGGAAGGTTGGGGAACCATAAGGGCATGATGCTTTGGCAGATTGGAGAACCTCTTCAGAATCCTCAAGACCACGCACCTTGCTGCACTCACACGATCTCACACCTGCTTTCCCCCTCAAAAAGTAATCAGCTCCGAACCTCACCTCGAAGTGCACGCGCTCGGGCAGATCCTCCTCCGCTTCCAGCCGACGCCCATTGCGCGGATGAAACAAAGCGGGGTCCGGGAAGGGCTTCACGAAGGAGCTCGGCCGCTTCGTGTAACCGAGGACACCTGTTCTGAAAGCAAATCTGGGGGCAAAACAGGTCAAGCCACGAAAGGATCGGAAGTTGATGAAAAGAACATCCATCAGTTTTGGGGGGCCAAAGGCAATCCGGTGCTCCAACGACAGGAACTTTGACCAGCAAAACTTTGAGCCCACCTGGAGCATTTGACGCGCTGCTTGCCAGTTGTAAGCAAACGCCCAACACAAATGTTGCAACCTTTGTCGTCTGGCTCATGGGCACCATGGTACCAAATGGCAGAGGTGGTCAAACAACACCTCTGCCCCAAACACTTGGCAGTCCTAATTTGATTGCTCAAGCTGCGCTGAGTGCGCGCTACAGATGAAACAACGACTGATCGCAGTTGGCCCAAAATCAAGTTTGTGCAACGCACCGTGCCTAAAGATGTTATGCCTAAACACAACAAGTACCCGTGAAACTCCTTGAAAATGCCTCGGAGGGCATCTGTTGGAGCGGACCCGGAAATCCCTGTTCAAGTTCACTTCTCTATCGCACCATCTGCGTGCTGCACTGCAATTTATGTTCCCTATAAACGGTGTATTCCAGGATTTTACCGCGCAACAGCACCATCGGCGCATTGCAAATGGTTCGATGAGATGAAAATTGATGTTGGTTTGGGCGCCTGGCTCACTTTCAACAGTCGGTCGCCATGTTTGTTGGAACAATGGTTGGAACAAAGAATAGCACTATGACTCTGAAGGCTCTTCTACATGGTTCTGCCGCGAAATGATGGTCCCACACATTCAAGTGTTTCTTTGTGGGAAGCATCCACCAGTGCAAAAGCTTTCCTGACTTGCACCGAGACAAATTTAGGTGGAAGATTGACAGCTCTTGAAACTGTTGCAAGGGAGGGCTCTCATGAGTTGGGCAATTTTTGGCTCAAGTATTTGGTCACAAATGACCGAGTTGCAGTACGGGTACGTTCCAGTCTTGCGGCTCACGCACTGCTTGGAGTACACATTTGACACAGAAAAACGAGCATTAAGAATCGCGTTTGCGTACGCCGGCTTTTGGACGCGTGAGTCGACGATATCGGTGACGCCAGATGGACGTCTTCCACAATGTGGATGCGCCGATCTGTGTCAACAGGAACCATCGACAGGCCGGATCAGGCCGGTTTGCCAGACTTGCTTGAGGTTTAGTTTCACTGTCGGGTATGACTCAGTATGAGCAATAAGACATGCCACTGCCACTCACACGCATACCATTTGTGCTCCGCCGCTCCCGGCCTCAAAATGAACGAGTACCTATTATAAAACGGACCCCAACTCATGTCGGAACCCCCATGTTTTTATATGCGCTTCTAAAGTACCGCCTTTTCTAAACAACCAACATGGCCGAACTTTTGTTGTTTTGAATTTGGTTCCCCAAAAAGTTCCTTCTTGACCTCCTCCTCCTCGTCGTCGTCGTAGTAGCAGGAGTAGTAGTAGTAGTAGTAGTAGTAGTTGTTGTTGTTGTTGTTGTTCTGGTAACCCTGGTAGTGGTAGTGGTAGTAGTAGCGCTGGCTCTCCAACCCTCCGCTGCCTGCCTCCTTCTCGTTTCTGCTGTCTGGCACGGGGCAGGTCGATATCCTCAGGTGCCCAAAACAAAATCAATGTTCATCTATGTTCATCTCATAAAACCATTTGCAATGCAGCGATGGCCACTCCGGGCAGATGCTGTTGCACGGTGGAATACACCGTTCATATAAGGAACAAAAAGGAACAAAGACCATGAGGAATATCAAAAGCGTAGCAGAGCATCACAATTAGTGAGGAAAGTGTAGCAAGTGCATGGGCCAACATGGACCGTGAACAATGTTGTCCGTTTCCCTCCATGCTCTGATTTACCCCGATTTTCCTCCCAGCCTCATGCTTTGAGAGCGTCATCACGAAGACACCGCTTGATCTGATGAACATCACCTGAGGAAATTCCTAAAGTAGCACTTTCACATAAGGATCGAGGTGTTCATCCAAAAGAGCTTCCCCCTTCGTTTTGGATCTTTGTCCTCGGTCCAAGTCAAACGCCAAACACCGATATCATTCAGCTATTCTCCAGTAACCTGGCGTGGATACGATGCACCGTATGGGCTCAGGCCATCAACCCCTGGGCATTGACCCGTCTACAACCTTCGCAAATACCCTTGAAGATTCCCTTGTTTTGAAACAAACTCACGCGAGTGCCACGGGACCTTGGGTTTTGCAGATTTTGGTAATTATCCTATTTTGGGCCAAGGAGGCCCTACCAATGAAACCATATCCACAGGGCGCTGTGATGAGACACATCAAACATCTTCCTTCCAGCACTGATCACACCCCCACAAAAGATTGCTACGTAATCAGTGATCTTCACAATATGATTATGCTTTTGCCAGGGCCCACATCCTCATCCGTATTCTCACAACTTTCAGCGATGACCATCTCCGATGGTATTCTCAAAAGAACGGAAAGGACCAAGTATGACCAAGTAAAAGACGTCCGTCCAAGCAAACGATGGTTTCTTAGGCCTTTTTTCACCTACAACACCTCCATCCTCAGCACCGCGCCCGAAACCACTCTGGGCACTCCGACCGCGGACCGCGGCCTGCCCTCCTCGGAAAACTTGGAATTGGGCAGTGGCGCTTTCTGTCTGCGTAAACTTCAGGCCAGGCAATGATTTCATGCGATTTCTTGATGATTTCTTGATTCACAATCGGAATCGTGCTTGTTCACTATTCCAACTATCTAAAGAAGGGTTTCACACCATGGTGTCACAGCCACAAGTGAGCGCCGCCGCCTCCGAATTTCCATCTCCACGAGCTCAGCGCGGTGCGTGAAGGGAGCTCCTGCCAGGGTGCGGAGAGCTTCCAGCCACCGGTGGAAGCTCGAATGCTCGGTGCGGGTTCGAGGATTTCAAGACATCCTTAGACTGTCTCGGCCAGGGTAAGCCGAGACAGTCGGAACTGTCCGGTGGGTGCGTGGTTCACGGAAAGAAAAAGGAACGTGACGACCTCCCAAGTTGCTCCACCCCCCCCCGTGTGTCTGCTAGGTCAACACTAGCAGGTCAAAAGAAAGCGGGAACCCCCCACAGTCATCTTCCAAACAGGAGGCTAACTGTGGTTGCTAAATGTGTGAGCTGGACCTACTTGCTCTCCGAACTTATTACGAAAGTCGAAAAGTCGAAAAGCAAACGAAAAGGCAACGATGACAAAAAGAGTCACCCGCCAAAAGGTCCCGGAGCTTGCCGGGTCCTTTTGGCGGGCGTCTCTTTTTTGAAGGCGTTCCTGCTCGAGGCTGACTCATTTTGACTCGGCGGGAGATGTCCGGAAAACAGCAACCTATACCTATCTCTGTAGGAGCAAAAGCAACGTTTGGATCAATTCTGCTAGACTTTTGTTGAAGGGCACGGCATGTGACTGGTGTCCAAAAATCTCGAAATGTCGAAAAAAAGAGTCTCGAAAAGTAAAAAAAAAAAAAGTCTCGAAAAGTCAAAAAAGTCTCGCTGCGTGACCTTTTTGATGTTCTGACGTTTCTCACTTTTTGACTTTTTGCATTTTGCTTGGTGTCTTGCAAATAGACCGTCGCTAAAGGATTTAGCGAGCGTAGGCTTCCTGGATGGGCAGTTGGGCCAGACTCACGCAAATTCAAACTCTCACATGCCCAGATCAAAGGAAGAGACCGAGCCCAAGTTCGTGACGAGCTCCTGGATGGACGAGGTCATCTCTCGGAAGAACTCTCTTCCTTTTCAAACCTGCGACACAAGGCACGAATCTTTACTTGGGAAAGTCTAGTGAGCTCCGAAGTCTTGTGACAAACTGGAAGGCCAAAGGCAGAGGATGGGCTATGCACCTTTCTCATTTAGTCATACAAATCTTGATCAACGATGCCCTCACGGCCAACACCCTCCCTGCCTCCTCCAAGAAGGTTAAGCTCCCTCCTCGGATTGGCAAGCTGCGTCTCATGACAAAGACACCAAAGTTACGCGGCATTGCAAAAGTTTCTCTTATCTTAAGGACTTGGGCTGCATTTCGACCCCACCACTTCCAACAAGACGAAAATGGAATGATCGGATGAAGATTCTCTAATCACCTCCAGCTTCTCGCACGAGTCTCGCAAAAGAACATGTTTGCACTGGAATCGACAAAACCTTTGGCGGTTCGTTTACCCACGGCCTGAGGCGCCTGGCTGGGTCAAACGTTGGGGCAAGCTTTGTTCAGGGCATGTCTACATTTATTCAATCGTTCTGAAGAGCCGCAGTAAAGAAAGTTGCGAGAACACACTACAAATATCTACAAATGGTGTTGCCAACACTCGCCCATATAGAAACCGCACTTCTAAGCGAAGTGGACCTACAGTACAACCGCTTGACTGACGGGCATGTGACTTTCTATCCACCCACAAGGTCACTCACTGAGTCACTTTCCAGACTCTTCTCCATCACCCATTGGAGTTTTGCAGCTCGTGAACTGCTTTGAAGTGCTGTGAACTACTCCACATATCAACTTGCGAAAAATTTGTTTAGTCGGTCTAGCTGGCAATTGCCAGGTCTTTGAAGTCCTCTGACTCTATAGGTCGTATTCCACATCCCTTGCACACCAAGCACCCCCCAAGTATGCTTTGTTTGGCCCCTGAAGTGGTTTTGCCTGGTGCCCCCGAGTCACCAAGTAGGAACTCAGCCAGAACAAAAAAGCGGCGCAGAATTAGGTTGTCAGGAGTAAGCTTTCGACTTGGGACTTTCCTGGCAGCTCCTGACCTGGAACGAAAGAGAACGCCCAGGTAGTCAGCCCGGTACGTAGCAAATATAAGCCATTGTGGCACATGTGAGGAGTGTGGAATTACCGGCTGCCCAGTGCAGCACCCAGATTGCCAGCACCGTGAGCCGACGTCAAACACGCTCGTTCGTCTTCTCCGCTGAGATCACGGCATACTTCAACCGCTGTCGCAGCATCACCTCAGATCCGGCGTGTGGCTGTCGGAGCACTCACTGGGCGGTTTGAGACCTGACACCCAGACACTCTAAGTCCCGATGACTGGGACCGACAAACCTCCAAGTCCCGCACCGGACATTTGGTCCGCGCGAAAATTGGGATGGCTGAGCGGCTGTCTAA